AAAAAAAAAAAAATTGTATTTTCGTGCTTTATTGTACCCTCATTTGAGATTTAGTCATACCAACTAGGGGTAAGTAAGAGACTTGAAGAATATCGAACTGAAATTATTATATGTGACGAAGAATATTTTCTGAACCGAAAAAATAATCAGTACAATTATGGAGATTTTATATATATATATATACCAAGGATCAAATCGAAGTATATCATACCATAACGAACCAAAGAACACAATTTCAACTTTAAATGTGTCTTTTCCTTTGATTTATATTAATTTTAGTGAGAGATTATTTAAATAGAAATCAGACTGTAATATTTCCAAAGGTTCATTTATAATATATTTCTATTATTTTTCTTACATTTATTTTATTTTATAGTTTAAAAAAAAAAAAAAAAAAAGCTCATTTATAGTATATTTCTATTATTTTTCTTACACTTATTTTAATTTATAGTTGAAATTATAAGAAAATTTTATAAAAATAATTTTAAAAATCATATATAATTTATTAGGATTCAAGCTTTCACTGCTAAACTTTAATAATAGTGTTAACTAGAACTATCATTTATTTTTATTTTTCTTGTTTTTAAAGATAAATTAGAAAAATATTTTAATAAGAATAATAATACATAAAAAGTTTGAAAAGAATATCAGTTTTACTATAAGTAGACCGTTTCTGCTATGGAGCTATCCAATGGTTCGGCTTATGATAAAGTCATCCATAGTTATTCACAAATAATATACTAACACGTGTTCTACAATATATGCTAATTGTGTATGTGCCAGTAGATAAAGTTGTGAACGACTCCATAGAATATTCCTACAGAAGCCAACATTATGCATCGGAATAAATCATCACTAAGGTAAGAAATTCACTACCCGTATTCATGGTGCACACCATGCGATAACAAAGTGCCAATGCCACAAAACAGAAAGGAGGTTGACAAGAAAACAACTTAAAATCACATTGAAATCGTGCATGTTATTAACAAAATACTCCCAAATTTAACCTATCAACAGCACGGCGAGAAGCGTAGAGTAAAGATGCGAAACAAACTACGTTAAGTTCTTGGGCACCAAAACCAGTCAATGTTCCCATTTGCATTTACCGATACCATCCGGTTGAGAGCGAGGGTGTGAAATGAGTAGGTAACTTTTGTATGCTTCCAGTGCCATAACTACCAATATGAGGTAATTACCCGAAAAAAAAAAAAAAAAAAANAAAAAAAAAAAAAAATTACAAAATTTGGGGGATAATTCATACTCCAGGAATGATTTTTTTTCCAGTGCAGCACCAATAACACAAACAAAATAGTTGCTGATGCCAAAGCTGTTCAGGTTTACATGAGCAGCTAATTGCAGTCCACTTAAACCAATTCCTTGGTATTCTTTCACATGCCCAAACAGTCTGGACATCTTCGGCAAATTCATTCGCAAGCCTAAACAGTCCTCACTTCATCCGGAAGAAGGCCATTTTTGGCCATCTCATTGAGAATGTTAAAAACTGCATCCATATTCCCTTCTTTATAATTCACCTCTATAAGGTCCTTGGCACGGTCACC